AAATAGGAGCAGGCATACCACAAGAAGTCCAACCACTCCAGTCGAGATTCGATGGATGAAGTCGTGCGCTTCCTCGGTCAAGCCTGGATCGGCTTCTGCAAGCAAGCGATGTGTTTCTGCGATGTATCGGTACTCGGCGGCATGGTGCTACTTCGAAGTACCTCCTGCCATACTGCCCGCCGAAGAACGGCGCAGGGCTATAGCCTCGCGTACGCTTCTCAGGCGACGACCAACCGACTACATCTGCAAGCTGAAGCGAGCAGTCCGTTCCACGTGTCTTGCAGCAACGCATAGAGTATCAATATCAGCACCTCTGAAATGCACATCAAGTCAATACGTGCCAAAAGTAAACACTTTACTGTGCTGCTCAGGTAGCTTCTTCTTGCTGACAGTGGCAATCCATTCTTTCACCAAGGCATTTAGACTGAGCTAAGACATTCACACATTTGTTCTAGCTCGTCTTGCGTTTCAAAGTAGTTCCGGGCGCGTAAACATTCCTTCTGCTCTTTCGTCAGCACCCAATCCTGAAATTAGTACCACAAACCCGGGGCAGCCACACACCTGAATCAGGACTACATTTTATTACTGTCTTTGCCGTTGTATGACGCTCACCTAAGTATAAATTACTATAATGCACACCGCCGTCGTTTAATGCACGTGCTACCAAAGCCAAAGGTGTAAAGGGTATCGCAGCCATCATGCAGTAGAGCCCAGAAATGCACACAAATTTATCGCTTGCCCGGGGACAGAGGTGGCAAGCTAACTTCTCAACATGCATTCCACTACTTTTCGAAGTGCATGCATTTCAATATCGAGTAGTGATATACATGGCAGGAACTGATCGCTTGAAGGTGCCGATCCAGGCTTGACGGAGGAGTAAAGTTAGCAAAATGTTATGCAATTTGGGGCCTGACTCCCTATTAGACTTTCGACTGTTGATAGAACGACGAACATTTGACCATAATAATTATGTCTTTCATTGTGTTGAAACAGGAATGAACATGCAGTTGATCAATGTCGGCGACGTGAGATGGCCCGCCAGCTTTTTTTATCGAGGAGGCCCAGCAGCTAAGGCAAGAAACTACAGCAGCAGCATCAGCAAGAAAAGCAGATGCAGCAGCGTGAACAGCAGCAGGAGAAAGAACAGCAGCTGCTCGAGTCTGTAGCCCAGGAGCAGAACGGGAAAGTATGTTCTTTAGTTTTGGTTACTATCAACTTTGTGAAAAAGATCTGTAGCTAATGCAATGTTTGACATTGAATGCGTATTATTGCTCTCCAGCTGAGTATCATTTCCAGTGCATCCAGACACATTTTTACGTATACCTCTTCCCTCTCTTATTCCTCACCTCTTCGCTACCTTTTTAACTCCCATTTTGGATTTGCGAAATAAAATATAAACCCAATTTGTTCGACGGAACGGTAGTATTATTTTAATATACGTTGAAATTGTTCAAGTAACATATCATTCAGCAATGTATTTCGACTATGACAATCAGCTCATGCGATAACGTTGCACAAAACCAACCGAGAGTGCTGATGCTCTACAATAATTGGTCTTATTCTCACTGCAAAATCACTTTTTGTCAGATCTTGACCAAATTTGGAACGGACTTCTCGCTTCAGGTGCACGTGGAACGGACGACAAGTTGACTCTCTACTTTGATAGGAGAGACGAGCTAGAACAAAGTGCGAATGTGCTCGTCTAAATGCGCTGGTGAAAGAATGGATTGTTAGTGTCAGCATGAAGAAGCTACCTGAGTCTTTTGTGCAGGGTAGCAGGTGATAACGCGGGAAAAAGAAAAGTGTGAAGTACTGTTGACGCGCATTGAACATGCATGCAGCGTCGGAAATTCGGCGCGGAAAATCAATCACTATTCAATGCAGAAATAACGTGCCAGAATCAGATTACTATCATCATAACAAAAGTGATAACAAGGTCACGTGCTACATGTTCCTGTCCCAGCCATGAGCGCGTGTCGCGATCACCTGACCTTGTTATCACTTTTGTCACTTAGGGTATGCCATGTTTCTATGCAGAATGAGCGCAATTTCGCCAATTTAGCCCTATAAATTTAGGGCTAAAATAAATTTAGCCCTATAAAGATCAGTCTATTCTTATTATTCTTTCATTCAACATCATATGCCACCACTGATGATCTCAGGAGGAGCGAAAAAGCTGTCTGGAGTGTCATTGTCAACATCAATCTATATACCGGAATTGTCCTCGCTGTGGTGATCGTGATGTGAGCGCAGAGTTTGGATCAGCCAAGAGCGCAATGTGGTGGTGTGGTGTATTGGATTCCATAATGGCCGGTGTCATATAGTAGAATGACCCCCGTAGTGGAAGGCCCCCCCGGTCATTGTACTATATAGTAGACTGCCCCCGGGGTCACTCTACTAAATAGTACAACGACCCCCTCGGCCGCTATTTTAGTAGAGGTCCGTGAACTCCTGAACTCCTGAATAATCCAAAAGGAGCAAGGAGCACACAGAAAACTCAAAGGAACACTGAACTTGCAAACTTTCTTCCAACTCCAAAACAAAAACAATCCAACACAAGGTGGGATGTTCATGTCTCCTAAAGAGGAAAAGTGCGCGACCTATGTACAAATGTTGTGGACTTTTCACCACATATTCCCACAATCAAGAGTACATAACCCCGGACTCTTGCCACAATCCATAATGTCCACGTGGAATCTGTGGTGCAAACTCCATCCCTTTCTACCTGCACGTGCGAAACGACAAGTCTGGTGGACTCTGTAGTAGAATGACAGGGGGCAATCTACTATAAAGTAGAACGACCCCCCCCCCGGTCATTGTACTATATAGTAGAGTGACCCCGGGGTCACTCTACTATATAGTACAATGACCGGGGGTCCATCTGCTGGGGGGTCATTCTACTATAGTACACCGGGTCGTCGCTACTTCTTCAAAACAGGTAAAAAAGAGAGTAAATTATCGTGTCTGTTCCCGAAGGGAACTCACGACGGCCGCTAACACCCGGTAAACCCTAGCGGCAGATGCAGCGCCTAACGGTGGGGGTGAGTGGGTAAGTCTAACAACCACTGGCACAAGTGCCGAGAACGACCCCATTAGCTGCATCCATGTGCCCCTTGTGCCTGGCCACAAGTTCCCAGTTGACTGTGGGGAGCAGCACGGCTGGAAAAACCGCTTCCAGGCAGGACTTGAACCAGGTACCTCTCGTATCTCAATCATGGTCTTTGACCAACACACTGTGCCTGCCTGGTTCAAAACAGGCATAATGCCTAATAACATTGGACCCACCGTCATTATCCGCTGGACTCTAGCCACTACACATGTACATGCACCAGATGCAAGAAGGTGCTATACAGTCATGTATTTACGCGCATTACTTGACTTGCGCGGAGGAGAAGTGCTAACCACCCACGTTCAGACTTAGCGTGAAACCCGGTGTCAGCCCTAATAAGCCTATAACGAAAAAAATAGGGTCGTGATGACTTCATCATATGATGACTACATACATGTATTGACCTTTGACGCCCATCGCCGGAGGCGATGATAGCAATGCTACGGCAGAAGCCATAGCAACTTGTGCTGGGATTGCACCATTCAACAGCTTGCAAGGCTGAAGAATTGACCGTCACTATTCAGCCTGGTCTACACCATACAGCTATTTGAAGTGATTTTTCTGGCCAGTGAATCCCTATTTTTGACCATGATGACTGCGTAGACTGCCTGTAGAGTGTAGAGTGTTGACTGTAGTGCGGGGTGCACCATGTACTAAGTATGCGCACAAGGGTACTGGGCCATGGGTGATCGTGATTCCACTGACGTGTATTACATGCCGGCCAGGAGTATTTTTTATTCTATTGCTTTTAGTTTACATGGCAAGTCAAACGGGCAATCATGCCCAATGCTATGATGACGATGGAAAGACTACTACTCAAAACCTTTATTTGAAAGAACCCGAAGTACTAGTATAGTACTACCAAGAGTTCATAACCCCCAATAGTGCGCATTTGTCAGATCTGGGACGGCGAAATCCGTGTTGCACGTCATAAATAATAATGACATCATGAGTTCATAACCCCCAACTGGCCCCAAGCAAGAGTGTGCAACTTAACTGGCAGTCACCCAGCGCTCCGCGAAATTCCTACATTACGTCATGCGCAACTGTTACTTGTCATCCGAGGTAAAATTTAGGTTCCTTGCGATTTCTGGAAACTATACCCGGAACCTCTCTAAACTCAAGGCTATAGCCTTGACATTTCGAAGCTTCTATTTGAAGACGGTTCCGGTGGGACGTACAAGTATTACTTTATCAAAAACAAATTCTTTCTCCAAGAATCCCTGGACATCAACGACAAGAAGAAGGTGTAGCTTGTGCCAACTGGCGAGGCAAACAGATTTTGCATTGCTGTCGAGGATAAACATCTGATAGCTGTGAAACTCAGCCGAGAAATGCTCCTTCCACGCATTCTCAACTCCCTCAATCATTTGAAAATATATTCAAGGGAAGCACGGAAATATGCCGAGAAAAAAAAAGGTTTTGAACTTCAGAGACCTGGCTGCACTGCACTGGCGAAAGCAGAAGGCGACAAAGAGTTGCCATTGCGGGCATTGGCATGGAAAAATAGTCTTGTTTTTTAGGATCGAGCGCTTTGTTTTGCTTCTTCAAGTTCTTTTTGGGAACTCACACCAGAATCGCAGTTTGAGGCAGTTTACCCTGAGGAAGCATCCCGGTTTGACTGCAAAGTTTAGAAGAATTCATTGGCATGACTCATCGCACTGCACCAAATATGACGCAATGAAGGAATTCCGCCGAGCGGGCTTCCATACAGACAGATACTGATCAGGCGTTGCACACTCTTGGGAGTTATGAGCTCTTCGTACTACTGCACTAGTAGATCCGCTGTGTATTTACTGAGTAGTCGCTAGCAGTAGTACATGTATAAGAATGCGCTAGCAGCAGTTTCTACACCAGTGTAGTGTTGAACTGACACTGCTAGCAGTAGTAAAACGGAGTGTGTTTCCTGATTTGCAATCTGCTGTTTCCTGATGTGCTGCCACAACTAACTTCATAAGTACTACTACCTCATTGAAAGAGACGACGTTCTATGGAAGGAGAAGAGGACAACATGGTGGTAAGAATTATTATTGATTAATTGGTTTAGAATGCTTTCGGACGATTCAGGCAACTTTATAAGTAGAAGAGAGGGGTTTGAGCAACATTGGTCCAGACTCGATCCCTGACCTGGAGTTCACAAACTCAGTTTAGGTATGGACTCGGATGGAAAGCCAAGGATTAATTTATACAAAAGAGAAAGGATCAAGGAATTACAAGTTACGCTATACCGTCCAGTGTCCACTAACAACACCAGTTACTAAACAATCAGCTCATGTGATAACATTGCACGACACTGACCGACGGCTCTTTGGATGCGCACTCCAACAGCCTTAAAACTTTACAGCTGAGACTTCCAGCTCGTGCTTATCTTGGTTTCGCTCACCTTCCCCTCCTTATGTTATTTCTATAACTTAGAACCTTCCAAGTAATAGTTGGAAGGCTGTTGGAGTGTGCATCCAAGATGTGCTAGAGCTGTTAGCCAATTAGTTGTAGAACGTCAGTACAGTCGGTCAGTGTCGTGCAATGTTATCGCATGAGCTGATTGTTTAGCAACAGGTGGTGTTAGTGGACAGTATCGTAACTTGTAGTTCCTTGATCCTTTTTCATTTTCGGAAAAAAGTATTTTACCGCTACGATCTCGACCTACGTACCCGTCAACATCAGGAATACAGTTATTAATAGGTTGTGCGGATAGACATGACTGACTAATTCGTGATCGTGATGCTGTATACATTACGATAGTATTGTTTTAACATCACGAGGTGAACAGGCAGGCAATGCAACCGTCCTGCTTTAGACCAAAACATTAATTTTGTATACATTTGCTGTCGAAGTGCCGACGTCAAGACGCAGCCCGGAAGCTCGTAGTTGTGCGTAGTGTACAAGGCCATGTCACATGTGGTGACAAACAAAAGTTGGGTCACCTGCTCTTGTCGTGTTTCCAGTCACGGCATCCCTTTGACTGGGGCGCGCTGGTGCAAGATGGCGAGTTCAATTTTTTGTTTTACTTCAAGAAGCTTCTTCTTCGCGCTCAAGCCATCGTGCAGTGTTTTTCCCGCGGAGTGTTCACCAGCACCTGAGAAATAGGACTTCTGATTTTCGCTTGCCGCTGGACAAGGCAACGGGCCCAGAGGTGGCTGGTCTTAGAACCAAAAGAAATCAGAGATGGCTGCGATAGAAATAACAGAGACACCCAGCGAAAACTACAAACTCGGCGACAAGTAGCAGCAAATTTGAAATAAAATTTAATAATAATATTCTCGCTCGCGCTCCTCAGTCAAAATGATGCTGTAGCTACATGTACAGTAAGATCGGGCGCCGAAGAACGCAGGGGCTCGAGCGCAGCCTAGGAAAGTTCTTAAATTTTTGATTCTAGCCAGACCGTTCTTATTCACACGCGCGCGGCGAGTCGAGTGACGTCATGACGTTTGTCATGTACATGATTGTACATGTACATGTAGTGCAATGTAGTACTTCTAAACTAGTGGGTGGAAGGGGACGATGAGGATGTTGCATCGGATGTTGAGGCTAGTGGTGAGGAGGATGGACAATGAACATACAGAACGTCATCTGGTGTTGAGAGTTGATTGTACATGGATGCCATGAGCTCCACCTGCAATGATGGTACTGTATGGACAATCACGGCATGCATAAATGCAATGTATATGCTGTCTCTATGTTCTTGTACATAATCATAATAAATACTTCAAGCAAGTTATTGTCCAGATTCTTACATACATGTACATGTATATGCTTCAAGTACATTGTACACATACATGTACATGTAGCATGCTGAAACTCAACTCCTGGAGCTTCCTGTAATACTGTGCATGTGCTATTACTATTATTACTATTATTATTATGTACAGGTGTTGTGGCGAGCTCAAAGCCGATCAGTTAAATACTGCACTCATGTGGAAATTCCAAATTTTAAAAGTGTTCTTAAATCTGATAATTTTAGCCTGGACTGTTCTTAAATTTTGCCGGTTTTCCAGCCTGGGTGTTCTTCGGCGAGGTGTTCTTCGGCGCCCGATCTTACTGTAGCTGTGTTCACTGCATGCATGGTGCTGCCACTGGAAACAGGACAAGTAGTTGAAGTGCAGGTACAGATGACGCGACGTTACGGTCGTTGTTTGTCACCACTTAAGTACTTCGGCAGTCGGCACTTGGCCAAGTACTACTACTAGTACACTAGCACTAATACTACGCGTTGTCACGAAACAGTGACGTCAGTCTACGAAAGTAATGACGTCTAAACGGCCAGGGAGTAGTAAGGTTACGTCAGATTTCTACTTTTGGATCCACTAAGCCTAGGCCTATAGCAAGAGTACATAACCCCCCAGAGTGTGCAACTCCACTATGGGTGCTGTCCCGACAGAATTTCAAGTTGACGTCATTTTGATGATGCAATGCGCACTGTACACGGATTATCAGACGAATCCGGAACCTAGCTAGGCTAAGGTCCAAAAGTAAGGAGCAAGGTGTACAATCTATTCATCGCCGTAAGGTCGAGCGCCGCAGCGGATAATGCCGGCATTATATTCGGCATTATGAATGATGCACCAACGCATATGGCCCATTGGCCTGCCTGCGAATCATGAGGTCCGGAGTTCGAGACCCGCACTGGCAGCAGGGAACGTGTAAAAAGACTTTTTACGCGTGTTGAACTGCGCCGACACCCACGCGTGGTCAACTGGGTACTCACAGCTCGGAGTGAGTTGTTGTTATTGTTTTTGTTGTTTGGCTTTATTTAGAGTGGAGTTCCAAAACAGACCTAAACCTAATGACAATGGTCCCACTGATAATAAGAGAAAAGAAAAAAATATAAAAATAAGCGGACAAACAGAACAGAGAAGAAGATAGTTAGATAACTAATATGAGCACGGCGGCAGGGAAAAAAAGTCACAAGCACGGCAACCGGGAAAAAAAGGAGTGAGTGAGTGAGTGAGAGAGAGAGAGAGAGAGAGAGAGAGAGAGAGAGAGAGAGAGAGAGAGAGAGAGAGAGAGAGAGAGAGAGAGAGAGAGAGAGAGAGAGAGAGAGAGAGGATAACAAGGGTGCAGTTTACAGGGTTATGCCTTATGGGCCGTTACACGCCTGATTGGTTGAGAGACTCGCCTCCTCTCCCCTGACTCACTTGTGAGGTCTGCATTCGCCACTGAAGGTGTAAAGGCATAGTGGTGGCTAGGCTTAGGCTCCGGCGGATTATGCTCGCGAAATCATGGAATTATGCTTTCATGGAATCTCTCATTATGCTCGCGAAATCATGGAATTATGCTTTCATGGAATCTCTCATTATGCTCGCGAAATCATGGAATTATGCTTTCATGGAATCTCTCATTATGCTCGCGAAATCTTCATAATTATTATGCTTTGGCACGCGGGGATACATATCACATTTTTGTACTTGTGGAGCCTCAAAATTGAGAAAATCGTGCCTTTTTCGTACTTGCAAGTGGCCATAAGTACAACGAAATGTTACATGAGTATCCCCATACCAAGGTATCCGTGCATGCTAGAGATCAACATGAAAAGGAGAAAACATACTTCTTCTATTCATTCGTTGACTGCTTTGTAAAAATATTTTTTCATTGCCAAAATAGTTTGAGTTACCTTTGAAAATTATCATGTTCAACTGTCTTCGTAATCGTCATACTCGTCCAATGGACGTCACCCTCAACCTGCGAATAATCAGCTCATCTCTCCCGTAGCTCCACCTCTCCTTCCATCATGACCGAACATCAACTATACCTCTTCTTCTTCTTTTTTAATTATTAGAGCAATATCCATAGCCTGCACAGTCATGGCTGCTAAAGTCCAGAGGTCATGACTTCGTAACATGCATAATAGATATCCTTAACTAAAAATACGCTAACGTAAACGCAAACCTTTCCTTACTTCAGATCGTTCAAGCTAACTTTTCCCTTAGCACAAAGTACGTTATAGTTGAGACGAAGTAGTCGTGACAACCATGGCGATATGAATTTTCGTGTCAACAGATGCGGGAAATTCAAAATTTTGAACCAGGGATTAGTTTGCTGTCGTTCCGAAAGAATACCTTGGCGAGGTCTTTTACTCTGGTATAGCAAAAGCACAGCGAAAATGAGTTTTCGCTGTTCCCAGGTCCTTGGAAAACCTTTCCTAAACGCAGCACCGAAGACTGTAAGGGTTCTCCAGCTCCAGCACGTCTGGGAGAGGCTGATGAATTTCTTCCTCAGGAGTGCCGTGGAACTGGTCCTTTGTTTCCCAGATGGGATAGAGGGAGAAAGGCACGAAGCAGAGGACGCAGACATTGTCAACTGAAAGGCAAAACTCGCCAAAAAGCTAAATGTCACAAGAGGATGCAATCTCGACTCTCATCTCGATCTGCAAGTGCTTTTTTATCTCCCGCCAGTTACAAAACAATGCGAGTTTTTGCTTTTTTGCAGAATTTCCATAACGAACGTCGGCCCGTTATTTTGAGCTCTGTAACGTTTTTCCGTTATCCGATAACGTCTTGTGTCACGGCTGGGAGTGAGTACCGTAAAAGGTAGCGTTATCGTACTTTTGCTAAGGATGTCTAATGTACATGTACGCGGAGTTTTGCGGATTACCCGTCACTATCTCGTCCGCCCCAGGATATCTAATAAAGGCTGATTCACTCGCATCTTCTGCTACATGTACTATATCAGCGCGAGAAAGAACTTTGAAGAAGACGAGTTCGAGCATACTATACTGTATTGTCGTGATTTCTACCCTGCTTTTCATTGAAAACACTATCTGCATGACCTCCAAGCCCTTTGCCATGCAGACCACCAGCACTGAATAATGCCATTGATCAGGTGCATTGTGCACAACTGTGTAGCCTACATACTACTTCTTGAAGTAGAACTGTGGTACAATCATGTAGTTATGCTCCCACCTACGAAAGGATGCCACATTATGCTCCAAATGTTCAACCACCAAAGTATGCCAATAATTATGCCGGCATAATCCGCCGGTGTCGAGTGGTGGCCTGCGGAAGCGAAGGCTACTTAGTGTGTTTCTGAACATTCAAGTGATGCTAACCTGTCCCCGGGGAAAATCGCGGAAAAAAATCGCAAAAAACGCGGCAAAAACGCGGCATAATATAGCATAATTTGCGGTGAATTTGTGGTAAATATGCGGTAAATATGCGGTGAATATTATTGATATCATCTCGCGGCGGCAAGTTTGCAGTTGATATGAGGCAATTTTCAGTGAGTATGTCGTGAAATCAATCAGTTACAAGTCTCTGGTGTAAGTACTCGTCATATTTGAGTACAAAGCCGCCACGATGAGACGTTGCAGACCGAACAGTGCACTGTGTGTACGTGTAGTGCAACAAAAAAGTTCAAAAAACGCAGGAAAATCGCGGAAAAAACGCGGCCGCGGAATCGTGATTTTCCCCGGGGACAGGCTAACGCGGATTCCGCGAATATTATTGTATTATATTATGACACTATCCAAGCATTAGAGAATTATGGAGCATTAGAAAGAAACAAGACGAGCAATCGTCGAGCATTGTGTGAGGTGTGGTCACCGTCACCGGTCGGGGACAAGGCACTGCATGGGAGTTACAGAATTTCCAAGATTTGGATCTTGGTAATTCTGTAACTCTCAATATATTTTGTCTTCATGCCGTGTGCCAAGAGCTATTTCCATCAAATCTTGTAAATCTATATCCATGCCTATTCTTGCTATCCCGGAGTCACGAACTCTCCCAATACAAGCTTTTCAGATAACGAGCAGAGAAACTCTCTTCAAATAAAAAAATTCTGTGACTGTGAAATCAAAGCCGTTCTGCTGACACTGCATAGCCCGTGCGCGTGCAGCAAACGTTTTACGTGACACTTCCGTGGCTTGCTTCAAAGCAACCTTCAACTTGGAACCCCCGCCGGATGTACCAGATATGCACATGGGGATATGGCCCCATCCGCCCATGCTTGCCCGGGGACCGGATGACGCAATGTTTGGATTTCGTTGCGCCAGACCCCAACCTGGAGTTGCACACTCTGGGGGGTTATGGACTCTTGGTTATAGTTGAGACGAAGTAGTCGTGACAACCATGGCGATATGAATTTTCGTGTCAACAGATGCGGGAAATTCAAAATTTTGAACCAGGGATTAGTTTGCTGTCGTTCCGAAAGAATACCTTGGCGAGGTCTTTTACTCTGGAATAGCAAAAGCACAGCGAAAATGAGTTTTCGCTGTTCCCAGGTCCTTGGAAAACCTTTCCTAAACGCAGCACCGAAGACTGTAAGGGTTCTCCAGCTCCAGCACGTCTGGGAGAGGCTGATGAATTTCTTCCTCAGGAGTGCCGTGGAACTGGTCCTTTGTTTCCCAGATGGGATAGAGGGAGAAAGGCACGAAGCAGAGGACGCAGACATTGTCAACTGAAAGGCAAAACTCGCCAAAAAGCTAAATGTCACAAGAGGATGCAATCTCGACTCTCATCTCGATCTGCAAGTGCTTTTTTATCTCCCGCCAGTTACAAAACAATGCGAGTTTTTGCATTTTTGCAGAATTTCCATAACGAACGTCGGCCCGTTATTTTGAGCTCTGTAACGTTTTTCCGTTATCCAATAACGTCTTGTGTCACGGCTGGGAGTGAGTACCGTAAAAGGTAGCGTTATCGTACTTTTGCTAAGGATGTCTAATGTACATGTACGCGGAGTTTTGCGGATTACCCGTCACTATCTCGTCCGCCCCAGGATATCTAATAAAGGCTGATTCACTCGCATCTTCTGCTACATGTACTATATCAGCGCGAGAAAGAACTTTGAAGAAGACGAGTTCGAGCATACAATACTGTATTGTCGTGATTTCTACCCTGCTTTTCATTGAAAACACTATCTGCATGACCTCCAAGCCCTTTGCCATGCAGACCACCAGCACTGAATAATGCCATTGATCAGGTGCATTGTGCACAATTGTGTAGCCTACATACTACTTCTTGAAGTAGAACTGTGGTACAATCATGTAGTTATGCTCCCACCTACGAAAGGATGCCAAATTATGCTCCAAATGTTCAACCACCAAAGTATGCCAATAATTATGCCGGCATAATCCGCCGGTGTCGAGTGGTGGCCTGCGGAAGCGAAGGCTACTTAGTGTGTTTCTGAACATTCAAGTGATGCTAACCTGTCCCCGGGGAAAATCGCGGAAAAAAATCGCAAAAAACGCGGCAAAAACGCGGCCAAAAAAAAGAAAAAAAAGAAGTAAATTATCGTATCCGTTCCCGAAGGGAACTCACGATGGCCGCTAACACCCGATAAACCCTAGCGGCAGATGCAGCGCCTAACGGTGGGGGTGAGTGGGTAAGTCTCACAACCACTGGCACAAGTGCCGAAAGCGACCCCATTAGCTGCATCCATGTACCCCTTGTGCCTGGCCACAAGTTCCCAGTTGACTGTGGGTAGCAGCACAGCTGGAAAAACCGCTCCCAGGCAGGACTTGAACCAGGTACCTCTCGTATCTCAATCATGGTCTTTGACCAACCCACTGTGCCTGCCTGGTCGCGGCATAAAACGCGGCATAATATGGCATAATTTGCGGTGAATTTGCGGTGTAAATATGCGGTAAATATGCGGTGAATATTATTGATATCATCTCGCGGCGGCAAGTTTGCAGTTGATATGAGGCAATTTTCAGTGAGTATGTCGTGAAATCAATCAGTTACAAGTCTCTGGTGTAAGGACTCGTCATATTTGAGTACAAAGCCGCCACGATGAGACGTTGCAGACCGAACAGTGCACTGTGTGTACGTGTAGTGCAACAAAAAAGTTCAAAAAACGCAGGAAAATCGCGAAAAAACGCGGCCGCGGAATCGTGATTTTCCCCGGGGACAGGCTAACGCGGATTCCGCGAATATTATTGTATTATATTATGACACTATCCAAGCATCAGAGAATTATGGAGCATTAGAAAGAAACAAGACGAGCAATCGTCGAGCATTGTGTGAGGTGTGGTCACCGTCACCGGTCGGGGACAAGGCACTGCATGGGAGTTACAGAATTTCCAAGATTTGGATCTTGGTAATTCTGTAACTCTCAATATATTTTGTTGGGGAAGTGCCGGAGATCTGCGGCATAACGCCATTGTTTCCACACGCAAAAGAGTAGTAATATTTCAACTAAATCTCTTGCACAGGTTGCCAGGGAGACAGAGATGCCCAGATAGGAGACTCGATAAGAGTGTACTTCTAGCTGCTCTTCTAAGTACAATTATGTATTCGAGTGCTGGTGCATAATCCATGATTGGTGGATGGAGCGGGTGCGTGATCCTTCCGAAAATACCGAAAAAAAACCTCAGACTGTTTATTGGAAATGTACCAACTCTTTACAGCCTACACGGACAGCAGTTTGAGCACGGAAGAGGCACAAACATAATATGTTTGTGCCTCTTTATAACTAGAGCATCAATTCTACTCCCCACTAGACCTCTGACTGTTGATAGGTGAGCCACTGCCTACTGTGACATACAAAGCATCAAAAACATTTGAACGAATGTCCTTCCATCGTGTTGTAACAGCTTTTAACACCTGAACAACATCAGTGGTGGCGGAGGCTCCTTCAGCGCTTCCGGGAGGGACTACAGCGACGTCAAAGGCAACGACAGCAGCAGCAGCAATATCAACAACTCCAGCAGCAAGGACAACAGCACCTGCTTCAAGAACAGCAGCACCTGCAGCAAGATCAACAACTCCAGCAGCAAGAACAACAGCGCCTGCAACAAGAACAACAGCAGCTGCTGGAAGATCAACAGCACCTGCACCAACAACAACAGCAACTGCAACAACAACAACTGCAACTGCAACAACAACAGCAGCAGCAGCAAGAACGACAGCAGCCGCTGCACGAACGAACGTACCGGCAGCAAGAACAGCAGCACCTGCAGCAACAACAACAGTGCCAGCAGCGACAGCAACTGCGAGAACAACAGTTTCAGCAGGGAGAACAAAAGTGCCAATGCCAGCTGCTAGAACAACAGCGCCAGGAGCGACAGGAACTGCAAGACCAACAGCGCCAAGAGCAAGAACAACAGAGCCGCTTGCATTGGCACTACCAATACGATCTGCTAGCATTTCAATACCAGCAGGGACAGCAACTGCGAGACCAACAGTGCCAGCAGCGACTGCAACAGCGAGAACAACAGCATCATCAGTTAGCACAACAGCGTCAGCTGGGAGAACAAAAGTGCCAATGCCAGCTGCCAGAACAACAGCGCCCGCAGCGACAGCAAATGCAAGATCAACAGTGCCAGCAGCGAGAGCAACAGCGAGAACAACAGCGTCAGCAGCGAGAACAACAGTGCCAAAGGCAGCTGCTAGAACAACAGCAGCAGCAGCACGAATCCGAGCCAGAACAACAGCCTCAGCAGATAGAACGGCGCCAGAGGATGGAACAACAGATGCAGGAACTAGAACAATGGTTCCAGGAGCAAGTAAGACGAATGAATCGCCAGAACGGTGTGGTAATCCGTTGTGGGTGGGTGTGTAAGGGGGGGGGGGGGGGGGGGGGCTGGTGGCTCGCACTAAACTTTCTTGCCTGAAAAGGCCTTCTAAAACAAAGGACTTGGGCAGGCACATACACACTGTGCATGTACGTGTACCTGGGTCAGGGAATTGTCTACCGTAGCGACGCGCATATAAGCACATGTGCCTATACCCGGGCATTAGCACACCCTCACAAATAACGGCATGGGCTTAAGTTATACGTGAACCAAAGTGCGGTCCATCCCGTGACACACAGACACCACGAAAACACCATGTTCACATAGTTCAATGTGCATTGCAGTACTGCAATATGTGCATACTTATGCAAGGTACCGGTACACTGGTAACTCAAGCGCATGCGCCTAGCCCTAGGTGTGAGACAAACGACCCGCAAAAAATAGCAAATAACGCAAAACTCACTCATAAGCGAATGGGCCTTTATGTGCGTCACTGCGGTATAATAATTATACTAAGTATTACCGTATTTGCCGGAGTATAACGCCCACCCGACTATTACATACCCCCACCAATTCTTTAAAGAACGTTTTCGCAATTCAAAGTTCATCCAGAGTTCAATGTGCAGCCTAGATAAGAGCAGTATCGATCATAAAGACAGTATAGTCATCTAGAGTTCAATTTACATGTATTATGTGCAGCCTAGATTTAAGAGCACTCTTGATCATAAAGACAGTACATCCAGAGTTCAATGTGCAGCCTAGATTTAAGAGCATTATCGATCATAAAGACAGTTTAGAACGAGGTCTGTCTCGTTGTCCAGGAAACGACCAATCAGCGACATTCCCGCCAAGGGCCTTATCAGAGTTTAAAGCCCGCTCAATCGTTATTTTACTACTCTTGATGACGCGTCGAGGGCCTTGGATTAGTTTAAAGCCCGCTGAATATACTCTAAACTGGTGCGTACAACTCCCTGTATGCATTATAGTACGGTGCAGATAATGAACTCTGCATAAAATGGACGGTGTACAACTAAAAGCTACGCATTTCAGAAGTGTGTACGGTTTTTGCCTCCCGTATTCTTTCATCTGTACGAATTTCCTTTGTCAACAGCTTGCGGAAACCTATAAAAACCAAAGATCGAAGTCATTATAGGTATCGACAAGGGGCTCTCAAATCCCCTAAATAGCTCCACAAGCTATGAATAAGAATGAAGCTCGCAATAAGAGCCCAGCATTTCATTTGCTTCTATTTTACTTTAAGTAGTCCTAAGTGGTGCTGAGTTACCATAACTTACCAGAAAAAATATTCTTTCATACCACACCAAGTCTCTCTGCACACAAACCACAAAACTACCCAATATAATGGTACACAAGCATGATGGAAGTGAGATAATGCATGTAACCTCGTTCTAAAATAGTTAGTGCATGGCAGGGAGGGTCTTATGGCTTGTTTGTGCCCTTCAGGGTAGCCCTCGGGCCTACGGCCCTCAGGCTAACCTGTCGGGGACTAACAAGCCATAAGGCCCTCCCTGCCATGCACTTACCTATAAATAGTCATCTAGAGTTCAATTTACAGGTACATGTATTATGTGCAGCCTAGATTTAAGAGCACTATTGATCATAAAGACAGTACATCCAGAGTTCAATGTGCAGCCTAGATTTAAGGTGGCAGACTACCCAAAAATTCGCTGAAAAATCGAATTTGTAAATTCATATTGAGTGCTATGTCAGTTGAAAGAGCATGAATAGCTGCAAATTCTCTGAAAATTGTGTCCCGATCTGACCGGCCGTTCAAGAGTTATGGCCGAAAATGTGCCCTTGCAAGGAAAGATTTTTTTGTTGCACGCTGTCATTTGTTCGCAGCACTGTATTTGAATGTGAGCAGACCGTGCGCACCTTGTCGTATCATGGAAACACGTGAAAGTGTGCAGAATTTTGCTCTAAGTCCAAAAAATCAGGTTTTTGAGCCACGTATTGGGCTGCACGGCGGCGGGTGAAGCCCGCCGCCGTGCAGCAGGACTTTTGCCAGCACCCTCGTGACGTTGCAGATATGTGGCTTGATTATTGTAGTTGACGTTGATTTAGTGACTTTGGCAAGTTTGAGTCGTGTCAAGAAGTCAGGTAGGATTCAGTACTAGGCAGTAGTGAAACGTGAGTGGTAGTCTTTGCCGGTTTCTGAGGGTATCCTGGATTTGGTGTGCAGCGCTGTGGAAATGGCTTGCTGTGGAGGTCCCAGCACTGGATGTTGTATCAAAGGTACGACCTCGTAGCACGTGCTAAACCTAAAAAAATTCAAAAATTGACTTGGGTCTGTGTGAGTGTGTGAGAGAACGCCCACTCGTTCTGTTGTGACAGATTCCAGGGCCTCGTTGAGGGGCCCTACCCCATCACCCATGGCTGCTTCTGGACTTGTTCTAGGTTTGGGTCCCGCGCACGGACAGAATGAGCACGAAAATGTGAATAATTGTAAATGCATTTGTTTGGCTCCTGGGTGGCTCGCACACCGTGGCACTATGCCGGAATTTTGAGTTTTTCCGGCCTGGAAAGCCTGTCAGTGAGGCGCAAGAACTTGTAAATCATGTCCTGAGGGCCAGCATAGTGGCAGGAGTGTGTGGTCAAAATTTCACTCAAATCCATTGAGAAACACCAAAGTTACGGTCAATTGAATGCCATATGAAATTTATGGGTAGGCTGCCCCCTTAAGAGCATTATCGATCATAAATACAGTACAGTCTATGGTGTGCCAATCGTATCATAAAATTACGTTCGTAAAATGCGTGTGCTGCCAAAGGGGTATCGTACCCATTATACATTAGCAGTGTAGCTGGCAGTGAAAAAATAAAAAAATAAAAAAAATTATCGTGTCCGTTCCCGAAGGGAACTTACGACGGCCGCTAACACCCGATAAACCCTGGCAGCTGGCAGTAGATAATACAAATGCACACAGTCATATAGTTTGAGGTAGCAAACTAAATTCTGAACAGTTTGATGCATTTACTGCTTTTCGAAGTGCAAAAATATTCACGGTTCGTGTGAGACTCGGCTGGAAGCCGAGTTTTCCGCATCCACAGGAACGCCACCACCTTCTTGGGCCCAGGCGCAGATGCAGCTCCTAGGCAGTGGGCGGTGAGTAGATCAGGCCCACCACAAAGTGGTCAAAGACCGAAAAATTCACTGCATCTATGATTCCCTCGTGTTAGGCCACGAGTTCCCAATAAACTGTGGGTCGAAGTGCAGGCACTTTCATATTCGGGGCATAGTGCGCACTTGCGATTTGGTGCCTGAAATTGTACGTCTAAAGTGTGCACTATTCTCCGGAAAATACGGTGCTTGTATGTGGCCACATGATTGTATTACATTATTGTTCTGCAGCAAAGTACGTGTGCTATCTGCTGTCTGTTGGTGCGTTGAGATTAGGCAATGAGAACATGTGAACTACTGAGTACAGTCCATTTCAAACTATAGACGCGTACCTAGGCAAAAACCGTTATGCCAGCATCTATACCACATAAAATCTGTGATCAGTTTGTGCATACATTTTTTCCAAATTGGGCGTCTGTAGTTTTGAAATGGACTGCAAGTACTTTACTTTTACACAATATAATGTGTACGCATGCATGGGTCTAGTAACCAGTGAACTTCTACCACGCACTCGACAGTCTAAACAGTACTAAAGTCATTATGGCTGGTAGTGGACTTCATTGTGAGTCCGTGTGAGGGGTGGTTGATCTTTGTGTTCTGCGGGAGGCATTGGTTTTGCCAGCTATCCACATGGGCTAGCAGGGGGTGATGCGGTGCTGCTGGTGCGTTGCACGCTCAACCGACCAGCAGTCTGGGAAACATTGAATGCCAGTCTGCACACTGTAGTGTTGCCATGTACACGACTGATTGTATGCAGCTCGCATTCACCGAACTGGAGGCACTTCAGCATCAAGAACAACAGCAAGATCAGCAAGAACAGCAGCAGCAACATCAAGAACAACAGCAAGATCAGCAAGAACAGCAGCAGCAACATCAAGAACAACAGCAAGATCAGCAAGAACAGCAGCAGCAGCAGCAGCAGCAGCAGAACCAGGATGATCTATCGTGCCTGCAAGTAAGACTAATGAATCGCCAGGACAGTGCTGTAATCAGTTTGGGGCTAGCTTAGGGGTGCTGCGGGGGGGGGGAGGGGGGGCTGGGGGGCGAGGGGGGGGGGGCGGGGGGGGGGGGGGAGTGGGGGTGCTGCGGAGGGGGGGGGGGGTGCTGGGGAGCGGGGGGGGGGGGGTGGCGGATGGATCTCACTAAGCCTTCGTGACTAAACAAGAAACACTCCTAAACCAAGGACTTGGGTGGGCAGACACCTGGATCGGGGTCCAAATGTTATACTGTGGTTGTCTGGGCAATGCGAACTTGTACACTTTACTTGTACACAAATGTGTACGCGTGCATTGTTCTAGCAGTCAGTGGACTACTCAAGCCGAGTTTATTCAAATAATACGACATGGAAAGAAGGAAGAAAACCAAAGATACAAGGGATGAAACTCGACGATGAAATCAAAATGAAAATGCCAGTGGACTACTACTCTGCACTCTAAACAGTCGTACAGTCATTAAGGCTGGCACTGGAATTCACTGTTAGTCCACGTGTGGGTGGTAAGCCGTCTCCTCTGCGGAAGGCGTTTTATAGGCCACAGAACGAACGGGTTAGCATGGGTTGAGATGGCTTCAACCAGAGCTTCTGGGCTTCTTTCAATGGCAGGTGAACTATATCCAGGGGAAAGCATAAGCAGGGGTGAAATGAAAAATTAATGAGAAGGGGGGGGGGGATTTGAAGATCAGCAGAGAAGAACAAACAGTAAAACAGAAAATGGGAGTGAAAAGGAGTGTCAAAAGAAGGTAAAAGGATTTTAGCTACTCAGAATCGGTGAGGATTTGGCCCTGCATGGGAGACGCACAGACATGTGAAGTGTCTGCCAGCCTGCTCGTGTCTGAGGCACTTTGGGCTTACAACAGAAAGTGATACAGGCTGACAGCACTAGCGGGAGGAAAACAAGCTCTTGGGCTTAGACTCTTCACTTCATAATTCCACACAGCAATGAGAAAGAATGATGGGTTTATATAGGCCAGATGGAGAGAGCAGCTGGGAGCGAGGGCAAAAGATTACTAGGAAGACAACTGTTGAAAGATCTACAAGTAAGGAAAAAGACCTTTGAATGTGTGTGAGCTAGGGCTGAACAATAACATGGATTCGGGGAAGAAAGCTGTTGGATGCCTAGAACCGGGAAGGAATCTCGCAAGGGATCAAGAGGGTCAGTGATGGGGAACGGACTATACAGGAATCAATGTAATGTATTAGTACAGCATGAATGCAGAGCAGCCTGGCCCCGCCACCACTTCTCGCACATATTTGGGAATATAGTGGACTTTCGTATAAAATAAAAAAATTGCGATAGGTCATGCCGTACCGGTCTTGCAAGCAGGGCTATCTAGTCCTAAGTGGTTGCGCGTGAGAAGCACTTAGATAGAATGTACCTGTTAACTACAATGTAACTACTGGTAGAGACTTGGCTGTGTGATTACTGACAGTCAGGGATACTACACATGTACCCAGAAAAGGCTAGAATGGACGTGATCTTGACTATTAAAGAGGGTGCGGCCCTTATCCATACCCGCATGAAATAGTCTAGGATCGGCCGGACAAAATGCTACGGCAGCAACTCCGCCCGAATGAAAGCAGGCGAGATGGTGCCCAATGGCACTGCCAGATTGGAGCAAGATGTCAGCAAGTGTTACTAGTATTCCGCTGGAGTACGCTAGCCACAGCTGAGTGCGCAGATGCCTCTCAAGCATTTCCATTGGGTGTGATGACATCTGAATATGGTGATGAAATGAGGTCATAGAAGTTGAACTCGATGACAGCACCCAGCAAAGTCACATGAAACAAAATTGGCATCGTCAGCCTTCAACTTCTTCCAGATTTATCACATGACCTTCCAGATGAAATCTCCTCAGATGCACTTCTTCCAGATCAACTCTTTTCAGATGAACTGCTTCCAGATGAACTCTTTTCAGATGCACTGCTTCAAGATGAACTCTTTTCAGATGAACTGCTTCAAGATGAACTCTTTTCAGATGAAGCAAAAGGACAAAACATAGGGGATGTAGGGATGCCATACATTGTATCAGCACTTGACCACTAAAGAGAGGACACAATGCTCTGTGTAGACCCAGCTGAAGCGCTCACACACACATGATACCAGTGGACAGTCGGCAATACTGACACTGTGCCGTTGCTGACCAGCCGCACAGATCAAAGCATTTGAAAACCTTTCGGTGCCAGCACATCAAAATCATAGCAGTGTGCGAAATCTCCACCAAGGGATGGGCAGAGAATGTCTGCAGTGGCACACATATTCACAAAGTCCAAGCTGACCCTGCGGAGACAACCACCATGCTGAGTGGCCACATTCTGCAAGGATAACAATAGCCTGAGCGGACTAGATAGGCTGGAGTCACCTAGCAGTAAAAGTCCTGGACATACGTATGACTGTTACTTGCAAGGGTAAGCTGCTGGCAAAAGAAATACACAATTCGCGTGAGACTCGGCTGGAAACAGAGTTTTCCGCATCCGTAGGATGGCAAGCCATGGACCAAATACAAAACAAGAGGACTGATGCTGAATGGTAGGCTGTGCAGCTGATGCAATGACACGTCCATTCGAGAAAAACAAGGGAGAGAGAGAGCCTTTTTGGAAGAAAGCAGTCTATACGCCTGTCTCAGTATTACAAACAGTAGCAGCAGCAGTGTTCGCACTGTAGATCAGGTAATGCGAAATCTGATTGTGTTCGTGGGTATTCCGATAGCCACTTCTCTTTTTTGTCACCAACCTGTGTACGTGGTCTCGCCCATATGAAAGTGTTAGAAGCTACTTAGAAGTATATATATATTATATATATATATATTTGCACTGCCCAGCTACCTTTGGGCTTTGTGTAAACAAAAGAAAAATGTAATATCTCTCAAGTTGTTTTCTGACACCCCAGATCCCACTAGTTAGTGTACCGTCTATTTCTTGTTTTAATTTACACAGTGTGTGTTTTAGTTCCTCTTGTCTCAATCCTAACCTTCTCTTTCCCTCTTTTCCCTTTTTATTATCTCCCCCTGTGCATAAATTCTTCCCTGAATTTATCCCCTAGTTGTAATGTTTACCACCCTTGTGATGCTACTTATCCCTATGTTTCATTGGTTCTGCTGGCTTGTAATTCATTTGAAGAGAATGCCCAAAGACTAGTTCATGAATTTCGGAGTCCTTATTGATGATAAAATAATTTTTATCCAGCGCATACGCCAAAAGCGAATAACAACTAATTATCACATGGCACGTGATTGTTGCCCGTACTCCAGCGAATCAGCACCTTTCGCGCCGCGGGCAATAATATGCGATATTGCCCGCAAAAAAATAGTTTATTTGCCCGCAAAAAAATAGTTTATTTCAGTGATCGCGTGACTACGACGACTCTGTAGACTGTACGACTCCACGACGAGTCGCAGTGTAGCATTGAGACGAAGATGGAATTCTTTTTGGAGATGGACATCCCGGCAATGGACATGGCCTCGGACGTCTGCCGTGTGGTGCTTGCAGGGATCATTTGTTCAGTCATGTTGGCAGCCTGACCGTCGGTAAGCTTGTGGATAAGATTCAGTTCTGCTCGAAGTGGTACTGTGATCACAAACAATTATTTGAAATAACACAAATTCAACTCAGCGTCGTGCGTTTTCAAATCCTCGCAAAGACTTTTTTAGTTAAGTCACTGCCTGTGTGTGGTCTTTATGTGCCACGCAAAACTCTTACCAGGCTCATCTGTCCTCTGCCTTCACCTTTGCTTGAACAACAAACACAACAATTCAGGAATGTTTTGCAATGAAAAATACAGCTATCTGGAGCTGAAAAAAAGAAGAAAAATTGTCCTCAGAATTACACACCAGGGAGTCGTCAAATACTTGCACTTGTTGCAGTACTGTATTTGACCACTTCCTGATACACATGTAAACATGAAGAAACTCGTTGTGGTAGCACTCTTAATTATTCAACTGAAATTATGATTCTGCTGTATTTTATTGTCGTTGCCATGTCTATTGCTATGACGATGCGGTGCCGGCACTTTTTTTCTGTCTCCGTCTTTCAGCACTGTATACTCTCTGATGGCCTGCAGCAGACTTTTTGTCAGGGTGTAGGAGAAATATCTTCATTTTTCCTGTTTTGATAATGATAGCACATCAATATACATTGTGGTCATAATGTGTTGGCATTTGGGCTAATTTCAACAGCAGCCCAATGGTCTGCTCTGTGGGCCATGTGATAAATGTGTTATCGCATGGTTGCTGCAGGCCTTATGGCATATTATTGCCCCTCGAGGTTAGCCCTCGGGCCTACGGCCCTCGGGCTAACCTCTCGGGGCAATAATATGCCATAAGGCCCTTGCAACCATGCGATAACATATACATAGAGCGGTTGTCAGTTGACAAACCCTTTTTACTCCCGTAGCTATGCAGAGGACGTTACTTCAGTAACGTCTGGCGCTAGCCAGGGTCCAGACAGCTTTAGGCTGTGTTTACATGAGAAATTTCAACCCGGGTCGAGTTCAGCCCGGGTTGAAAGTCTGTACGACAGACAAAAGAGGTGAGCGTTTACATGAAGACAGTTGACCCGGGTCAAATACTGATATGCCGCCAAAAGTCCACTTCTACAGTCCTGTATGGTCACGTGAATCCGTTCGCGCGAAATTTGCATCTGCAGTGCTGTTCAAACCTGGCGCGAGATACGCACAGAAGTACGTTTGTACGATTTTCTTGACCCGGGTTGATTTCAACCCTCCCCTTGGGGGGAGGGTTGAAATCAACCCGGGGCGAAATTTCAACCCGGGTCAAGCGCAATGCGTCATGTAAACGCGCCATTCACTTTGTGCACATGGCGGGTTGAAATCTGACCCGGGTCGAACTCAACCCGGGTTGAAACGCTTCATGTAAACACAGCCTTAATTTGGTGTTTGCGTGTTTGTGTCACGCCTGGCGCTATCCCGTATCTGTCCCGTACCGTACCGTACCATCAAACACAGCTGGCCACATACAGCTGGCCGCACTATTGAAATAGGGCTTTCAAACTAGGCCTTGGCGGATAATGCCGGCAGAAAAATTGGCAGAATTAGGTACTTTTTCTGGTAAGTTTCATGCATGTTTGGTATGTGGATAAAGAAATGGAGCAGAATTCGAGGAATTGCCCGCCATAAGGTTTGTATGGTTCTGCCAATTTCGGTGCAAAAAAAGCAGAATCTGCCACCTTTTCGAGCATTATCCGCCAAGGCCTATTTCAAACGCAAGATCATAACGTGAAGCAACTTGGAAGAATGAGTATGAATGCGAAGTATTGTATTGTATTGTATTGTATTTATTTAAAAGGATTCTCCAAAAGCAAATGGATGCTTATCACGGAAGTCTCCCACATAAATATCGCAAGAAAAATGGGGAAATGGGGAGAGGAGAGTGGAAGATGAAGCATGGGAAGAAGGGAAACAAGTACCTAAATATCGAGGTATAAAAGCAGGAAAGAAATCGACGAGGGAAGAAATCACCTCTGCAGATAATAGCGGGACATTTAGATGAAAAAAAAACAGCAAGGATTAATTTCAAGGAAAAAAATTTCTCAAACGGAAAAGTTCGGAATTCCAGTCAGAGAATATCTATGCTGAGAGTAATGAGCCTTTAGAGCAATGCGAAAATTGACAGAGGACTGAACGCAGCGGATGTGTTCTGGAAGTTTGTTCCATTCCACAGATAAACTGAAGAGAGGGGATTTAAGGAAATGGGCGCCAGAACGAGGTAAAACTATAGAGGACGGGTGACGACAACTAAGGGATACATTGAATTTGAAACGAATTAGCAAAGTGTATGGGGGAATGCATGTAGGGCGATAGTGCGGGTTCGAATCCCAGGTAATGCCTGAAAAATAGGAAAATTGAAAAAATTATAACATCCCTATTCATTTTTGCCGTCATCATGGTCATCAAGGCCGTAGATGGTGTCGTATTACCCTCGACCGTACCTGTCCCGTACCTGTCCCGTACCGTGCAATCAAAGACAGCTGGCCAAAATGCATACCGGTATTCAAATAGGGCTTTCAAATACAAGATCATAACGTGAAGCAACTTGGAAGAATTAGTATGTATGTGAAGTGTATCGGGGGATGCATGCAGGGCGATAGTGCGGGTTCGAATCCCAGGTTATGTCTAAAAGCACAAAGTAGAAACGTATAAGAATTTATAACATCCCTATGCTTTTTTGTCTAGGTCATCAAGGCAAAAAAGCATAGCGTAGGGCCCTGAGCTTCCAAGCTCTCCCGTTTACAATGCAGTTGCGTGATGTCCACCACTTTCTGAACTTATTGATGATGATGTGGAAGAATAGCTTCAGGTTTGTAGTTTTTATTTCCCAGACAAAAGAATGAGTACCTTTATAGGGTAAAGGTGACGCAATTGTGCACTGTCTACATAGAAAGGTGGCATATCTAAAGAACTTGAAGGTGACGAAGGTCAAAGTCCAAGACTCCAAATGCCAAGCTATCATCATTGAAACAACCGACGAGGAGACAATAGTCGCAAAATAGCAATAAATAAGATTAAATGTGCACTATTGTTTTATTTTAATATTATTATGAGTGCACATTTAATCCTATTTATTGCTATAATCATTGAACAAGAGGGGTAATCACTGAATATACGAACTATTCTAATAATAATTATAATCATTGCCTAAATCTTTTGTGTAGAGTCCGGAAGTCAACAAACATGCATGGCCCGCGTAATGAAGTTGAAAACGCTGTGAGCACTAGGATTTAAAGCAATACTTTGAAGTACATTAATAATCTTAATAATGCAATTAATGTAACTAAATGCGCACTCATATCACAACCATGGGGACGAATAATGTATTCCAGAACGTTTTATTATCACAATTATCAATGGAATTCGTGACTAAAGAGAATGATGAAACTACAATAGGATTTATAGCTGTTTCACTCCAAGTGTATAAATCCTATTGTAGTTTCATCATTCTCTTTAGTCACGAATTCCATTGATAATTGTGATAATAAAACGTTCTGGAATACATTATTCGTCCCCATGGTTGTGATATGAGTGCGCATTTAGTTATATTCATTGCATTATTAAGATTATTGTCTCCACGTCGCCATTTTTAATTAATAATATTAGGAAATTAGAGGCCACATGCCACGTACTGCTCTTTTCTCTCCGAAACTCAACACTTGCAAGCCAGATATGAAAGAAAGAGAAAATCATCAGTCATACCACCGGGACAGAGCAGCACGTGGCATGTAGCCTCTAATTTCATAATACTTTGAAATTCTCCGTGAAGTCCAAATTTGAAATTACATTCATAATCTTTAACATAATTACTACGGTTTCAACTAATCGTAAAAATCATTTGCTCTTGTCTTTGTTGGTGATGGAAGACGCTTTGTGTTCCGGTGGCATCAGGTTCCAGTACATACTTGAATGTCTTCAAGCAGATGTAAAAATCGAGTAGTTTAAATTGCAGCTGTTGCAAATGTAGCTGGTATTTGTGCTAAATTCGCTAAGAGAATTTTTCTTTCCTTGCAGGCAGCTAGCTGGCCTCCATCGTCCATCATGTTTTAGAAGTAAAAAGTAAACAATTCCGTTTTCGCCGGTATTGTTTCCTTTTTACTTCTACTTGACCCTTTGAGGTGCCACTGAACGCGTGAAAGTACTCTATTGCAGTTCACTCCACCATTTCCACCATAACTTACGTTCTGTTTGCTTGATTCTGACAATCTAGGGCTCTTTGAAATGCTCTTTTCGCTGCCAAGAGAATGAGGCCACGCTCAATTCCGGTTAATATAATTATTGTTTTTCTCGGCGTGCCAAAGTCTCAGCGTGAATCATTCATGCGCACTTCACACTTTTCAAAGTATTCGTCTAGGGTTAGAGTTGATTTTTTTCACAACCTTGATACGTCCACATAGAGTTTCTTTAGATAACACTATTTCAAATTTTCACGGTTTTGATTGCATCTCCGAGTTTCATCTCTTGTATGTTTGGTGTTCTTCCTTCTTTCCTTGTATTGAACGCAATTCTACTACCACTATGTAGCAGTAGGAGAGCCAGGATGGCCAACCGGAGCACCGACGGGGGCTGCAAGTAAGACTGATTTTTCGTATACTTAGCAACGCTATAGAAAGAATTAACTGTGCCATCATGTCCACACACATAAACACCCACCCACACACACGCACGCACGCACGCACACACACACACACACACACACACACACACGGCAATGTAGCAAGGGTTGAACGTTTTCTTGTGACTATCTTCAGCCTGTTCAGGGTCTGCAGGCATCTGCAGGCAGGCATAGTGGGATGGTCTAAGAACATAATTGAGAAACAGAGGGTACCAGGTTCAAGTCCTGCTTGAAAGCGGAAGGAATTTTTCCAGCCGTGCTGCGACCCACAGTTAATTGGGAACTCGTGGCCTGGCACGAGGGTAACACGAATACAGCTACTGTTTTTTAAACAATGCAACACAATATTGTGGAACGGATACAGCTAATGGGATTTCGGTGTTTGACCACTTGGTGGTGGGTCTGATCTACTCACCTCCCACCGTTTAGGCGCTGCATCTGCGCCTTGATCCTAGAGGGTGGCGGCGTTCCCACGGCGGATGCGGAAAACTCGGCTTTCAGCGGAGTCTCACGCGAACCGTGAAATTTATTTATTATTTATCTTCAGGGTAAAATCGTCACTGATGGGTGAAAACGAATAACACGAGATTAATAAACCATCAGGTGCTAGTATTATAACCACACAGAACATAAACGAAAATATTCTGGCAAAATTACGTGCCCATAAGGTCTTGTGAGGTGCGAAGGAATTTCACTTGTACCAAGTACGAGTGTACAAGGCACAAATGGGGACATGGGTGAAGCAAGAAGGGGAAAAGTGTGGGTACAGTGACTGATTCCTTGTGTATGCATACATGTAGGTCTGGTTTTCTGCTTGTGGATGTAAAACTGCCCCTGACATTTTCCACTGGCAAAATTATGGGCAAATCAATGTCCAAGAAGTACAATGATGTACAAGTAGTTAAATTCTGATGCACAGTTCAGGTTATCCTGCATAGTCCTTGATTGGTGTAGGAAGCAGGAGAGGAATCTTTCCAAACATCCCAGCTGACAAAAATCTCAGACTATGCGCTGGAAATGTTTTGACTTTCTACAGCCTGCAAGGAAAGCCGTGTGAATCAGAAGCCTGAGTCGTAATTACAGATATCAAGAGTAGATAAACAAGAGTGTGCAACTCCGGATCTCTCCTGCATAATCTGCAGATACCCCCGTCCACGGCGGAATTTTTTGTTGACGTCACCTTTTTTTCAGAAGAACGCGCATTTTGCCGCAGAGCAGTGTGAGTGCACGTGCTGGGCACCGACCTTGTAATGTAAAGCCGGCCAAGAGCACGAGGGAAAACTTTCCGAAAGACTCGCAGCGCGTGCGTCGTCGAAAAGATTACGTCAACAAAAAATTCCGCCATGGGCCTACCCATCCGCGAGTTGCCCCACTCTTGTTTATCTACTCTTGCAGATATGACTAGATCATGAGTTCGACTCCCTTCTACTACCAGATGTTTGCCTGTTTATATGACAATGTCTGTCTACTTAACCCATTCAGCGCTACTGGGCCTTGCCTATGGTACTCTGCATATAAAATGCTAAAAACAGGGCCAATAGCAAGTTCTAAAACTCAAGGTTCTTGCAACTGGGGTCCTCAAATATTTTGGAAATGATTGCCAAGACTATCAACCACAGGGTGACAGAATCGATACAGTCTCCAAAAAGGACAGCGCCTCACAATAGGGGACGCAAGTTTGCTCATATTCCGTGAAATACGCCAAATGCGTGAAATTGCAGCTGAAAGATCGCTGAAAAGAGAAGAAAAAAGACCCGTAGTGTTTCCAAGCGGGATCCGTACCAACGACCTATCGTACAAGAGGCAGGATCATGATCCAACTGACTATCAGTGCTTTTACACATCAGACAGTGCCAGAAATCACTATATATCCCATGACGTCTATAGACGTCATCCCGCGCATGGGGGGCATTTTCAATGACGTCTATAGACGTCATCAGCGTTCAATGGGTTAAACACACAAAACATCAACGACGTGTGACTGTGTGTTGTTTTATTGTGTTAAAGCAGGTTTCAACAACTGAGGAATACCAGCGGCTGCGGCAGAGGAGCCATAAGGCTATCCAGGGTGCTCAAAATCAATGATGTGCCGTTCCCTACTATGGGCACGTGGGTGTTGTGTCTCCACGTGGCTAGATTTCAGCAACTTACTTGTGTTGTCTTTCATTCAGTTATCTTCCATAAACGGACTTTGTAATATTTAATATCTTCCTTTCTGGCCTCAGCTGATTAAATCTTACTTGGTTACGTTGGCTCTTATGCATGTATTGCAAGGTATTGCACGGTAGATAGACACTGACCGTTGTGGCTTCATGCTCTGGGTCATCCCGATAACGATATTATTATTATTATTATGATAAGGAGAGCAGTACTAACCTTGTAATGCGACATAATAGTGATACGCGTCAGGTACTAGTTGACGTTTGTGGCTTTTTCAGTATGGGCTGGTATGCCCAACAATCCAGAGCGAACTTGCCAGATATACTCTCTCTCTGTGTCTCAGGGTGTGATTAATAAAAGATGGATAAAAACGTTTCCGAACACGTTTACTAGAGACATTCATCTGGGAAAATACATCTCAATACTGAAATCTAGCAATATACAACGATATATACGTGGAAGAGTACGAAATGCAGTATGTGAAAGAAAATAGGAGAAAAGAAGGTGAAGTGGGAAAGACAAGAGAAGTGTGAACTAATAACAGGGGTGGGCAGGTGAGAAATAATAACAATGTGAGACTCAGAGAGGGTGAAGTGTAAGGAGTTTGCGCATGGGTATGTGGGTGGGTGTATGTGTGTGTGAATGCTAAGAATATAGTCTAAGTTTAGTTACATTATCTTTCTGGATGCATAGGTTGGGGTTATGTTTGCGAATGAAAACAGCTTCCAATACTTTTAAAAGGTGGCAGCCTGGTCATAAAATCCCTGAAAAATCGAATTTGTAAATTCACATCGAGTGCTACATCAGTTGAAAGAGCATGAATAGTTGCAAAATCTCTGAAAATGTTGTCTTGATCTGACCAGCCGTTCAAGAGTTATGGCCGAAAATGTGCCCTTGCAAGGAACATTTTTTGCTGTGGCATGCTGTCATTTGTTGGCAGCGCTGTACAGTCCGTATCGCCTATAAGGTTGGCGGCTATAGTAATATACCGGATATAGTGATCAATTTCTCAAATTCATTTTCAGTTGCCATAGCTAAGTATACACAGTTACCGCGAATAGTAATAATCGTCTATAGTAATAATTATATCGCCTATAGTGATCAAATTCATATTTCAAAAGACCTTCGTTACAATTATTTTTGCATCGGTTATAGTGATTGATGTAAAATCAAGCGATGTCAGAGGAGAACAGAGTGTTACTTCTTCGTGAAGAACTTGTCCAGTGAGTGTTGTTTGGTGAGTTTTGCTCGTACAAGTTGCCAAAATATGCCTCCATCATGAGGAAATGCTGATTTTGTGTGTCAGGAGCTACAGCCAGCTACATGTTATTGTACATGTAAGTAGTGCGTATGTGCATGGCGCGCTGAGTTGTTTGACACCCCACTCGCATACATTACATGCAGTATCGGTCATAGTAATTATATCGCTAATACCGTAAAGTCCGCCGCAAAAGCCCACCACATTTTTGCAAGATCTGCTGGCCTGTACACACTGACCCCATGCACTGTCACCCCTACTGTACGAAAGTGCATCTCACACCGGAGCGGAAAGAGCACTTTCCTACGGTAAACTATGTCCACTTTCCTGTTTTCAAAATCTCTTTGGGCACTAGCCACGAGCTAGCTCGTAGTGATTTTATAATGATGGTTGATTTATTTCGCAAATCCGAACGGGTTTTCTTCCGAATAACAAGGTAGCGAATAACAGAGTATTGAAGGAACCAAATACACTTCTGACGGTTTTTCAAGCCATTATTTCGAGATCACACAACGCCTAAAGGCAAATGTTTTTCTTGGGCACTTCGGAGTTTTCAACAAGTTAGCAGCGACTTTGTAGGTGTGGCTTCTGTGATATACCCTGTTCGACTTTCAACTGCAATATTGGGACCCGGCAGTCAAGTCGTTGACTGACGCTTCATCAGAACAATTACTGTTCCTGACAGCGCGACATCGTGGCACTGCACAAATTTTTACGGCATTACTCGTGCCACATGGAGAACGAACTACCACAAAAATGACACATTTATCGTATGAAAGGAAATCTCGACAGAAGTTATTTCTTTGCAGGAAGATAATGACAATCGCTTTTGCACAGCTTCCTGGTAGGACATAGGCAGTTTGTAGGCATTACAGTCGTTCTCGTACGCATTCGACCTTCATGCCAGTTATTATTATTATTATTAGACACAATCTCATAGCATGTGACAAGCATAGCTAATGCAGGGACAGAATCCCCTGAGACAAGGGCGTTGAGCCAGCCACGGCAATAGTAAGCTAGGAAAACAAAGCAAAATATGAATTAGAGCAGAAAATGAATGGAAAATTACAAAGAAAAACGATTAACGGAAGTGAGCACTATCAAAATTCGTGCATCACCCAGGTATTCGAGAATGTTCTTCGATGATAATTATTGCGTCTAGTTCAGTTGTGATAGTAGATCTTTAAACTGACCAATAGAAGAACAAGTTTTCAGACCGTATGGTAATGATAACCAATGAGAGTAGCCGGAAAACAAAGGGGACTTTAGATACTGGGCTGACTTAACAAGAGGCAGGATGAGCGCGTTACGGGTTGAGCTTGTCGAAAACCAATTGTACTTCATCATGTGTGAAGGGGTTTTATGAAGAAATATTTTATGAACCAGTGTACAGAGATGGTGCTTATGACGAACGGAGAGAGGAGAAGTGTGTGCAAGTCGATAAAGGGCATCCGAAGGAAAACATCGATCCTTGTTGTAAAGAATTTTAAGTATAAATCTATGGTGGACTTCTAATTGGTTCAGAGTTGTGTCAGAAAGGCCACACCAAGCGGTATCGCAATAGTCGAATATAGGGAGAATATAGCACTGATAAAATAATAGTTTACACTGGATGGGCAAATGAGTGCAATGTGGTTGTAGTACCCCTAATGCTGAACTGGTTCGCTTGCATACACAGTTGACATGTGCAGCCCAAGAGAGTTTGCAGTCAAACATCACACCTAGATTTTTGTGCTGAGTAACAACACGGATAGGCATAGTCGAGTCAGGGAAGTATAATGGTTGATCAGGAGGGGATGAAGAAATATACATGGCTTCTGTCTTGTCTAAATTGGGCTGGAGTTTCCACGTTTTCATCCACATGACAGTGCTGTTGATGCGATGCTGCATGGTAAGGAGTAATTGTGCAGGGGAGGAATCAGAACAGATAAGGCCAGTGTCATCCGCATACAAACTAACATCGGGGACAACTGAAGGTAGGTCATTAACGTAAAGCAAGAATAACAAAGGACCCAGAATGGAACCTTGGGGCACTCCAGACGTTACAGGGAGGGGATCAGACAAGAAATAAGACAAGCGAACAGCCTGAGAACGAGCAGACAGATACGAGGATATCCAACGCAAGGCAGCATCCTCCACCCGGAAGGTGACCTCCAACTTGGCAAGTAAGCCACGATGCCAAACGGTGTCGAATGCCTTAGCCAAGTCGAAAAACACCATTCCCACATGCTCCCCACAGTTCCTCTTTGTCGCTATGTCTTGGACAAGTCGAGTCACCTGGTATTGAGTTGAGTCACCACGGCAGAATCCCGACTGAGCTGGTGAGAGAGCCGGAGCGATGTGCAGGTAGAGGGAATCGAATACAATACGCTCACAAAGTTTGGAAACTGTGCGCAGCAGAGAGATGGGGCGGTAGTTTGCCGGGCAAGCACGGGAGCCTTTATTCTTGTAAAGCGGTGTCACGATGGCGGATTTCCAATCCTGTGGGAATGTACCAGTTCGAAATGACATATTAAAAATAATGGCGAGAGGATAGGCTATTGATGGTGCAAGAGACTGCAGCACTTCATTCGGGATCCCATCTGAGCCGGGAGACTTTCCACATTTCAGGCGCTTCAGATATTTCCGAACTTGAAACGTAGTGACAGTGATTGTACGGAACGGAACAGATATGAAAGGCGACTGGGACAAAGGGGGAATGCGCCACGAAGGATCATCAGGTAGCCCAAATGAGGTGAACTGAGTGTTCAGAACATCAGCTATGCTCTTGGGGGACGTGGCGACCGTACCGTCGGATGCTATCATCGTTTGGGGCATGACACGGCCGGAAGTGTGCCGCTGTGCTCGCACAAACTGAAAGAGTGTAGGTCGATTCGGTGACGTTAGTGATGCTTGGATGGAGCGTATATATTGACGATGTGCTTGCCGAGACAGGTGCTTTACAGCATTCCTTTGTCGGTTATAAGCTGCATGATTTACTGCTGTCGGATATTTTTTGTACCCACTATATAGATCACGCTTGCGTTTTACAGCAGACCTGAGCTCAGCAGTAACCCATGGTGGAGATTGCATGCGGGGTCGTGGAGATGTCACAGTGTGGGTGGCTCCGAATGAGGTGAGGTGACGACGGAAGGCGGACTGGAGCTCACAATCAAAGTGATGAAGTGCGTCATTAACATCAGTGTACGAGTTCAGAGAGGACCAGTTGTAGCCAGCTAAATCAGCGTTGATTAATTGCCAAAGGTGCGAAGGTACTTGTTTGAAGCGATACAGTGAAGAGGGAGGACCAGTGGAAGAGTTGGGGAAGTAGTTCGAAATAGGGGCGTAACATAAAGTGCAAACAATCTGTATATGGTCAGACATACCCAAGGGAGGTGCTTGATCAATGGAGCGCACGAGGCGTGGTCGGTTGGTGATCACCAAGTCCAGACACGAAACAGAGCCATTAGGCGAGGAATGAGTGGGGAAGTCAACCATCTGGTGGAGCCCAAGAGCAGAAAATACTGTGTTAAGGAGATCACCAGCCTTCGAGGTAGAATCGGTGGGACACCAGCTTGAGTTGTGGGCGTTGAAATCGCCAGTCACTAACAGATCATAAGAATCTAAACAGACTGACTGTAATGCCTCAACAAACATGTCACAAAAGTACGACAATTGCATTGTGCTCTGTGAGGGTGGTCGATACATGCAGCATAGTAAGATGGGATTCTGAGATTGAGTAGAGGGGGAGCCAAGTTCAAGCCACACAGACTCGCAGCCAGGGCGTTGAAGGTCGGCACGAGGGGAGACGTACGGAAAGGAGTCCGAACGGACAAGTACGGCAACACCCCCATACCCACGGCTACAATGCGCTGACCGATTGTCTTCCGAAGGTCGATCTCTGCGGATGCAGATATAGCCTGACAGTGAGAGCGGGTTCGAGGGACAGAGCCACGTCTCTGTTAGGCAGATTATGTCAGGCTTAGCACATTCGGCAATAACGCAGAGCTCAGACAACTTGTTGACAACAGAGCGACAATTCAGAGATACTAGGGTTAAATCACGCTGGGATTTAGGGAAAAAAGGGAACGCTGATGGATTTAGCGCTGGACATGCAATGTGTGCGGG